TCGTGGTTCAAATATCGGCATCAGCCCGCCGTCAACAACCGGTATCCTCCAACGCAGCAACGCACCTGGCCTGGATGGCACCCACCCGACACTTTTCTTAGAAGGTGGGGAAGCACCGGTGAACAGTGGTGACCCTACTGCAGAAGATTTGGGAGGAAAACAAAATATCAATGAAATGGAGTGCTTCAGTCGTCGTCCCGATATTCAAAAACGGTGAAAGCGCGTCAAACAAAAACCATCGTTGCATCAGCTTGGTGGCCGTTGCATCCAAAGTGCTTTCTGGCATTGTTGCGCGCAGGTTGGCTGATTATTGGAAGAGCTAAGCTCGTGAGAATGAAGCTTGGTTTCGCCCTAGTCGTCATCATTTAGCGGTATCACCTTCCTCGTGCATTGCTGCCGTGTCACCCAAAGGAAACACATGTTGCATAGGCGCCGACAGAAGCAGTCGAGATTCCGAGATTCGAGGCTGAGTTCGGACCACGTGCCTTCAGACCAGTGAGCTCGTGCCCTAACCACCGAGCCAAAGATGTCCTCTTCATCGCATCTACCAAATCTTTATTTTATGGCAGGTTCATGAATAGCGTCATTCTTTCAAATGCCGCCTGTTGGTCGTTTTTCTTGATCTGGGAGCTGTATGTGACTCTGTCAATCGTCGGAAAATTTGGCGGTGTCTGGTGATCAAAAGATGTACCTTGTAAATTTATATCCCTTATGAGGACTCTTATGGGCGGATACGATTAAATAGCAAGTTTTCTCCCGAGTTCGCCACGTCCAGTGGTGTAAAACAACAGTATTCTTCCTCACAATTCCTCCTCAACTTTGTTATCAATGTGGCACCTGAAATTTCTCTGCTTGCCCTTGAAATCTAAAGAATCAGAATGCTTTCCGGGGGATTCGCTCGTAGATATTCAGTATATGAGCATTTCTGTCATCGGTTCATACCCTCGTCATCATTGACAGTAACACCAGATGAGACCGCTGGTGTTTTTGTGTCGTACAGCCATGGCAGTTTATTTGATTAAGGCCGTATAATCGAAAGAAGAAAGAGATGATGAAAGGAGAGGGACTTAGCGCAAGCCTACCACAAACGTTTGAGGAGCTTTCAAGTGCCTTCAAGCTCTTAGTCAGACACTCTGGAATGAAACTGGTAGTATGAACGCCACTGACACCGGTTGGTTGCCACACCGTTCGTGAAATTCTTTATTCCCTATAGCCATGTCAGAAAAACCCGTCTCCTGATCACATTGCGAATTCGTTGGTTACAGCCAATTCCATCTATACTTCCGAGACATCGGTTGTCAAAGACCTGAAGACATCTCAGTTCCTTCGCTCGAAGTGGCAGAGCCTCGCAACCATACAACAGCTCAGTGCGCACTGTAGTCTCATGCATGGCTCCTTTCAGACCCAGTGAAATGCCTTTTCGGCATCACAAGTGACACAATTTGGCAAACGCACTTCTAGCCTTTGAGTTCCGTGCGTTCAGTTCGTCTGTCACACTACCGTCAGAGCTAATGCAACTTCCAAAATATGTACGGTGTTCCGTTGTCACTCTCTGAATCCTCAGCGGCATGTTCAAGGATTGTATATCCTGCAGGATGACTTTGCACTTAGTGAGTGCGAAACACATGCCGAAGGACCGAATGAACTTGGTCAGCTTTTCAAGTAATGCTTGCACTTGCTGCTCTTTCTCAAGAGACGAGAATAATATCGTTTGCATATTACAGGTCGAGAAGTTTGTCACTCGTAGAGACGTCAACGTTTGGGTTTCGAAGACCGCGGGGTGATTTATTATGTGCCTTTAACGGTGATCCCTTAGCAACTTGTTCTATTCCAAGCAGGATTTCTGAACCAAGCTTCCTCTTATCTTGCCCTCAGTTTCTACTTTCTTCCACGAATAGTTCGGTATTCCTTTTGAGTACTGCGTTCCATTACCTTAGTGACCACACCCAGCTGTGCATGGTTGCAAAGTAGCGTGTTCTAGGCAATTTGAAGCAAGTGTTCGGAAATTCCAATCGTCATTCACTACCATCTCGTAATTTATCATAATAGGCATTGATTCTAGTGGAAGTGGACGGTCAATTGGATACAGTAGTAGAGTAAACAGTAAAATGTTAAAATGATGTGATCACTGTAACTCTATGGAGATGAACGGTAAGTCTTCTCGATCATCAGCTGATATCTGGTTATTAAATTTGGAGTGGGTTAGCTGTCCCCGAATAAAAAACCCGTTCGTTTGTATGGTTACATTGTGTTCGTGTAGATAAGTTCTACAACTTTACCTGTGACTAATGCACAAGTGAACAACTGCGAAACTTTGAGGGAACACTAAAGTCATCGGCTGGAAAGACATTGACAGGTTACTTCGATAAATGTGACGTCTTCGGCAGATGATTGTGGAGATTTGGTGGAATACTGTGACGGTTCCTGTGTCTCGAGTGCGCAGTTCAAGGCAGCAAACAATGGCATTGTTTTTGAGGGGCCGAGGGTTATCAGCAAATGCGCATTGGTGATCCTGGTGTTGACACAACGACACTACACTACTTCAGGGGCGTCGGTCACTGTGTGGCACCTCCGTTCCAGGTATTTCAGTTTCCTTATGATTCGAGCTTCGTGAAGAGCAGGTACGTCGAATGGGTAACATCTGCTGAGACAAATTAGAATGAGTTTGTTAAGGATACAAGAAATGAACTGAACGCAAGATGATTTAACCAATAGTTTATAGGTGTTGGAAAATTGCTCTATCGGCAGAGTGAACGATGTTCAAGTAGTTGCTAACCCACTGTTGACATTCTTTTTGGCTTAACTCATCGCATTGGTTTTGTCAAATATTGAACTTAATATTCCTTTCATGCTATTATTCTGTTCGTAGAGTGGCTATGTTAGACAGTTACAGTCTCCTCAAGTCCTCGTTTCGAAATTGTGCACTGGTTGATCGGTTAGGGGATTTCAAACTATTGCATTTATTACCACCGAATTTTAGGGACTGGCGACAGACTTGCCCCCACAAGCCTTTGGAATCGTATATTGGCTTGTGTGCCATCATTATAAGCAGCTATGAGGATGGTACAGTGGTCTCGGCTGCTACATCATTTCCTCTAAGTCTTGACCAGTTTCATTCCTGAACCGTTTGACTTCTTGAATAATTTGAGTTTTAACTGACAAAATTCGGAATTCCTAACCGTAATTTGCACTCCGTATCTTGAGGCGATGCCCTGCTTTGATTCGTGTTAACTCGTCTTTGTGAGCCAACTTTAAAGGGTGGCTACGGAGTGAAGTAAACCAAAGTGGAGGTCAAAATGTTGCGCATCTTTTACTTTCCAAAGTATTCCTATGTGTTCTTCGGAATTGCGTCTCATTAACCGACACTACTTATAAAATAGGTGACCTTGCCATGGATGTACACTATGAAACACGAATAAAATAATAATCGGAATCCAGTTTTCATTTTAACTACTCATCGGTTTCCTGTTATCTGAAGTATTTTGTCCGCGAAACTTAACGCTTTTCGATGTACTGAAATGAGAGCTGTCGTTCCAATTGAACGGTATTTGTACTTATGAGTAAGACGAATCTCATCCGCACTTCAAATGCACCTCCACAATCCCGGTCACGTAGGTAAATACTCCCAATTGACAAGAATTGTGATACAACTGATTAGAGCAGAGAGCAGAAACCTTCTATAATAGTGAGTGTGCCTCGTAATTTGGTTTACCCGTAGTTCATTGCTCATAGTTCATTGTAGGATCACTTTACGACAGCTTCAGTGATGTGAATAAGGAAGCCCCATCACCAAACATACAAACGCTATCAAGGAACTGAACAGAATTTGGGGATCTGGGGATCTTCATATATGTCTTTTTGATAATCCGAAATATTACTGGCGCTCCATAAGCGCCACATAATTAAACCAACACTGTTTGATTGGTATGATCTCTGGTATTGTAAACCAAATTCACATAAATAAAGTCAGTTGGTGTGTGGGGCCAAACCACGAACAACACCTCGGCTTGTTAACAGGGTTGCTCTGTAATAGGCGAAAAATACTCGGTACGGGTGTAAGTACTAGACGATTGCTCATAATCGGCAACAGTTGTCGTCAGTGTTACTGCAGGTAGGGCGCACACAGTATGCGTATCATGTGAGTTGTGCCTAGTTCTAGTTCTAAGTTATTACTGACTAACGGTATCTCTGTCCTGGTTGTCTAGCTCAAGTAAAACTTGCATTGCTTGCTGCTGAAACCAGTCCTGGGTTGCGAATTTCATAGATCTAGTCTGGGTTACCAATTATTCACGCATCATCAGTATGTCTAAGCCGATTAATATAACATTAGTACTGCTACCGTCACAACGAATTCGTAGTTTTCACTATATATGTGTGTTTGGTGGGTAGTTTTTTCCAAACAAGCAGGTGGCTCGGTGTGCCGATATGGTTTTCTACACACGCGTTCCGGAACTGGCAAGACAGGAGACCTGTCACTGTGGAACTTATCTATCTATCCGCAGCATACGGCTGGACTTTTCATCTTTGGTTTCACGTGTGCTTACTTGTGTTTCGATCTGAAAGTGACTTCACTGTTAGTGAATAGGGAATCGTGGAACTGTTCTTAGCTGATTTATCTATGCCTTTTTTCGGAACGTAACCAAGTCAACCTATCCTATGTTTTCCAAATCACCGGGCCCTTGTTGTGGAATGGTTCTTACCCAATGAAAACACAGTTTCTTGGAATTTTGGAGTTCCACTTACACTTCCTGATTTTTCGATCGTCTTTATTTGGATGTAAGTAGATTATCAGAATGAAAGGAAATCCCACCTGTTCACTTTATGGAGGTGGTGATACTGGTTTACAACGAAATGCTACGATCATCCTTGAACGTAGTCTTGTTTTTAACGTTTAATGAGTTTTCATCTCATTTGAACCAAAAAGAAAATACTGATTTTTGTATGCTTTACGACGTTCACATTCTCCAGACCTGATTTTCTGCTGTGTTCCTTCGTTTCAGGCGATCTTGTTGACCGAAATCGTATGGTTTATCAAATTCCTATTCATCGTCTTCGTGGGGATTGAACTCACTGTATGCACACGTTGGGAAGTGCTAGCCAACCACTCAGTGTATATTAACGAATGGAGCGATGCGTTTACTCCGCCCAACAAATGTTGGGCCACATTACCCTTGCTTCCGTCATTACTCGTCGCAGGTGCCGTGTTCGCCCTCTTGATACAACTGGTTCTCTGTAGTCAACGTCTCCAGCGCTTTTGGGAGACACGGCTGTTTTGTACCAATGTGCTGGGTATGCCTCAGTCGTCGACAGGTCTGGGTGATATGACTTGGTCAGACGTACAAAAACGTCTCATTACGAGGATGCCTCAAACTGAAAAACTCGATGAGCTAGCAGTTTACAACCGCATTTTGCGTCACGAGAATTACTTAGTTGTTATGATCAACCGAAAGATCCTACCAGTTCACTTCAGTATCCCGTTATTCTCGCCTCCTTGGAACTATCCATATCTTCCAGACGGTTATCTATTCAATATAAAAATGCTGCTATTCTGGACACCTTGGTCACCGTTTTCACACGGTAGTCGGTTGCAACCGGAATACAGGGACCCAACTAGACAACAAGAATTGGCCGCACATCTTTCTAAAATGTCTTGTATATTGGGATTACTTAATCTCATCTTCGCTCCAATTATTTTGATCGCACAAGCGCTGGTATTTTTGTGCTCGAACGCTCAACGCATCCGTTTCCATCCGGCCAGCGTCTTCGGTCGACGTTGGTCGAACTACGCGCATCTGTATTTGCGAAGCGTCAATGAACTTCAGCACGAATTCACCGTACGTATTGGCCAGGCCTATGATTCAGCTGCAAAGTATCTGGATTGCTTTGTATCACGCAATTTGGTCACCTTGGCCGATGCCGCTGCCTTCATACTCGGAAGTGCTTCAGTTGCGTTCTTCGTTTTGGGCCTTGTACATGAGCAGATGATGCACCTGTCAGGCTATTGGGCCATTTTAGTAGTTGGCGGGTTGGTAGCTCGTATATGCATCAGTTACATTCCTGACGAACAAGTGGTACAGTCACCAGAAGTATTACTGCGAGTAACTCTGAGTAAAATTCATCACAGCAACGACCAGTGGATTCAGAATGCAGCCACTTCACGCGTTTACACCGAGTTTTCTCATTTGTTCCATTACAGAATCGTGGGAGCGCTGGAGGATATTCTATCACCTATCCTTACACCTTTTTTACTACTGTTTTTCTTACCCAACCATACGGCGGAAATTGTGAGTTTCTTTCGAAATTACACGGTTGACCTTGGGGACTTAGGGCATGTTTGCAGCCTGGCAACTTTAGATGTGGGGCTGCATCGAGATCCTGATTTCCAGTTTGACGATGACGGAACCGAGACGGCCGTTTCTGAGAGTCCACCTGAGGTTGCAGCTTCGCAACCAAAGCCTTTATCCGGGGGAAAGTTGGAAATCAGCTTGATAGCCTTTCATCAAAATAATCCCGACTGCATTCTTCCAGATGCCAGCCGTAGCTACCTGCAGTCTTTCAAAAGGCAACTCATGAAAGAACTTCCGCAACCGGCTCCCCTATTTCAACCCGCAGCTTTCAACAGCCAGGATCAGACTTTTGGCATCGCACCACAGGGACAGCTTTCGCCACTTCCATCGATTCCTCCTGGGGCACGCATAAAGAACGTTTCTCACTTACCTGGCCCGGGATATATTGACACAGCAACTTGTGGTGTGGTTGGTGCTCTGACGGAGTCGATGAAAAGTTCGATGCACCGTTCTGATCCAGGTGTCACGTTCCCAATTAGCACAACCAGGCCGTCACCACGCAATGCATCTAAACCATCTGGTTCTATCGAAGTTAGCGAGGACAACGCGAACATTGTTGGTGGTCTACGGCCCTCGGACCAAGCGGACCAGTCCTGTATTGGTCCTGGTCATTCCGTCTACCAGGCGCGGTACCCTTCGGATCTTTTAAATACAAGTTTGATGCTAGCCTACCAAGCTTATACTCCGTATACCTCACAAATGGAGAGCGGATCAAGCCAATACTGGGAGCTTGCCAGTAGTGCGATCAACGGTCAAGCTGGCCGCGGTGGATTAACGGCCCTCCTCACCGCAGACACATCGGCTAGCATTTTATGTCTACAAGAGCTTGTTCACAGACGGCGGCTTCAGCAGTCGGTAAGTTTATCTGCTTCGCAGCACCCTTATCATGGCAAGAACCATGGCACTGATTCGGGAGACGCCTCATTCTCCGCCTTCAGACCCCCCTCACCTTACCAAGCACCTTGCACGTCTGGTACATCATCTGCTTCCACTCGATTCAAGCCCCCGGTAGGGAGAGCTATAGTGGATCCTGGAGCTTTCGCGAGTACGCCTCATCGTTTCGGTTATGGTGCAATAGGTTCTACTGAGACTCTCGGCATAGTCCGAACGTCCGTTGAAGGTCGCCGCATACAAAGACCGCTCGTTGCAGAAGCAGTTGAAGAGGATGATGAATTATCCGTAACCCCGAGAGGTACTCCGAGGGGATTTCCCCTGGTGAGAGGCACTGGCGATTCTACCCCACCATCCCGCCCAACGGGTATCAGTAACATGCCTACTGGTGTTGTGACTGTTTCCACCAGCCCATCACTTCGGGCGCCAATCATGCAACGTGCAGCTGGAGTGGTCGATGACGCCGAAAATGCTCCTATGGACCGCGAAGACACTGATCCTAATCATATCTTACCGGACCTTCCACCAACAAACTGCTAGTTTTCTTCTCATTCGGAACATTTAACTGCTGGGTTCCATTGTCACACTTATCGGGATTTTCAGTTGTTCTCCTTTTCACCCTATCACGTGATACTCTCTATCATGACGTTTGCTTGTTTCACGATGACAGGATCAAGTGCGTGTTTACGGTTGATCGTTCCCTTCATTGTTTTGTACAGCTTATCCGTTTATTTGTGATCCTTACAACAAACACCTCTTAACCCTGCTTGAAAATTTTTGCAGATTACTTGGTACTTCCCTTTTCACCATTTTGCTTGGCCAACTATTAATCATATTTTCCTTTATCACATCCTTGTGGTTCTAATGGCTAGTGTCTACAAAAACACCCATCATGAGGTTATTTAACTTCTCATCCCTCGCAAGTCTATCTGTATAAGTAAATTGTCCAGACCGGATGGGGGTCATTTGGCGTATGCGGTCAAGTGCAGGCAGCTACTCGGTTCAACGGGAGTCAACTTAAGATTTTCTCTTCTGAGGAACAGCATCTCCAGTTGAGACGGCTTTTGTGGCTTTCGTTTTGTACTTATTGGTAGATCAAGGCCGTGGTTCGCTTGAAGTTGTAGAAACCCATAAGCAGCCAGTTTATAGATCTTCTTTCCTTTACATTCACATGCGTCCGCCACATGCCAAGTACACTGGGAAGGTGTAACACTAGTGGATTAAACACGAGAGGACGTCGCGGAAAGCACTAGATTGAGAAGTCCTGGAGTCGATCATGCTCTTTCGAACAGCTATGATTTTCAGCTGTCGGGGTCGCTTATTTATGGAGTTTTGGTGCTACTTTGCAGTGCTTTGAAGTCGCATTAAAGTTGTTCTTCTATGGAGCGATCGTTTCCTGAATTGGGCCACTTTTGGCTGGTCCCCAGGAGCTATTGTTGAATTTCAGAAGCACAGGAGGGTCACCCTCAACTTGGACTAGAGGCCATTTCTCGAGGTAGATTTTGTTTAGATCCCAAACACCAGTCACCTCTGTTTTTCTAACGTCAGCTGAACGTCCTGATTTTCGTGAATATCGCCCTTTGCAGGTTTCTGTAGGTAGGAAAAAATGATAACCCTTTGGTACTCCGCGTGGTTTGTCGGATGCTCAGCCATGTGTGTGGTATGACAATGAGGTTTAGGGGGAGACCGGGCGCCGACTGCACTGAATATTTCGCCTCTTTCGATCTCATTCGGGATTCTTGGGTATTGTGTTACACGTGGCTTCAATTGACTTCAAAGTCGCCTACGCGTTGAAGCGCAGCTCGAATAGGTGATAAAAACCTGATTGGTAGCACAACGAATGACTGCACGTTTGCCATGGTATCATATAACCACTCTTGTTTCCATCGAATGTCAGTGATAGAAGGGCCTGGTGATCAATCTTCGGGCAACAAAGACCTCTTATCGCTGGGTACTTTCTTATGCAACAACGGAATATGCGGTGTTTGCGATTTGTTTATCCTGAGCTGGCTCCATGTTCCAGTATATATATATATATATATATATATATATAATGGTTTTTAAAACAGAAGTTAAT